CACACATCAGGAGGCTGGGGCTGTGAGGAGGAATAAAGGGAGATTTATTTAAAGTAAAAATCTCTACTCCTTGCAACATTTGTGTTTGACAGGTCGTACTGGAAGAGCAGGGCACAGAGGAAAAGCAGTCACTTTCTTTACAGAAGATGATAAACCTTTATTACGGAGGTAAATTGGAAACATGTTACAACAGAGTGGTTTGTGTGGTGTGGTTGTGTCTGGTCCCACCCACCTCACGGGTACTTCACACTCACTCGTGTCTTTATTTCTTGCTTTAAAAACCTAACAAAACAAAAGACCACCAACAAAACAGCCAGTTGTCAGGATTGCTGTTTTCCATAGAACATCCTTATCACTTGTCAAAGCACTGGAGTTGATCTCTTCCCTTCTCTCCTTTCCAGTATAGCCAACGTTATCCAGCGAGCTGGCTGTCCTGTGCCAGACTACATAAAACACCTGCCCAAACTGCAGAGGTATGTTCTTTGAGTAGTTCACCAGTTTTTTAATTAGCGCTCCTTAATAGCTTTTAATAGTTTCTAAAACTAGAAACATATATATATATATATATATTTATATGACTTTATGTCAAAATAAAGTTTGTGGCTGAACAAACTTTGTGGCTGAACTAATCTTGGTATAAACAACACTGAAAATACATTCACACCCATAAATCCCTTTCAGCCAGTAAAAGGTTTTATTTAGTTTGGATAATTTTTGCCCTTTAAAGTAATTTAATCCTTCTTCGCTAAATGTTGTTCTCAGCAAACAAAAGAAGAAATTCATTAAGAAACCCTTGACAAGAGAATCTATTTGTACAACCCCGAAGTGCTTCTTGAAAAAAGGCAAAAGAAAAATGTAAGTACTTTTTTCTCAAGAGGAGGTAAGAGATGCTGTTTATCCAGAAAAGGCCCAGAAAATTCCTCCAAAATAACAGATAACTTGTTTGGATGAACTGCCGAGTCATAATGATTTTAGTGCTGAAGTTTTAGTGTCAATGTCTGTCTACTGAAAATTGGATTTATTACCCACACTTAGGAGTGTTGCTGCACAAGCACAATAAAAACCAACTGTGATATACTTCATTTATTATGTTCAGGTGTCATAGTCTCTGATGTGTTTTTTTGTAGGAAAACTACAAAGGAAAATATTAAGGAAAAGAAGAAACTTAAAGAAAACAAACAGGGCAGTTAAATTACAGACTGTTTCAGAAAGCTGAATTCAGACTGGTGAGCAGGGGCTGACACCTCTGTGCTGGAACAGAAGAATGAAGATGACAGCGAGGTTCGTGGAGAAAAATATTTCTCGTGTTTGCTTCTGGGTGAGGATGGAGGTTTACATGCAAGAAAGTCCCTACTGGAATGCCAGGAGAGGATTCCTGGATGCTTCTTATAGAAGCTGAAGCGTGTGCTCGTGCAGCGCATGCCTTGTGTTTCTGACAATAGTTCAAAACCTTGCTCTTCCTGCTTTTTTCTTCTGGAAAATCTGTTTGAAATAACTAATAATTTACATGTCTGTAAACTCTGGTAATTTTATAGTGTTTCACAATTGAGCCTCAAACCAGAATAAACAGGGTCATAGGATAATACAGAGATTTGCTTGTCTATACAGCTCCAGTGGAACAAGTCTGCAGGCCAGAAGGCCCAGCTCCAGCTGTTCTGTGCGTGTTCTGCTCAGAGTGTTCTCTGTCAGAATCACAGAATGGTTTGGGTTGGAAGGGACCTTGAAGCCCATCGAGTTCCACCCCTGCCATGGGCAGGGACACCTTCCACCAGCCCAGGTTGCTCCAGGAATGGGGCAACCACAGCTTTTCTGGGCAACCTGTGCCAGGGCCTGCCTACCCTCCCAGGGAGGAATTTCTTCCCAGTATCCCATCCATGCCATCTGTCAGTGGGAATCCTTTCCCCCTTGTCCTTTGCTCCCCGCTCTTGTAACAAGCCCCCATCTCACCCCGGGGGTTGCCTCTTCCTTGTCCTCTCTGGTTTTTTTATCCATCTTTTCACGGAAAAGCGAGTGATTTGACTGTGGGAAACCGGCGTTCCTGAGGGGGACCCGGGGGCCAATTCCTGTGTAACCGAGGGCCCGGGGAGCTGTGGGGCCGAGGGGCTGTGGATCCCAGGCACTGATGGCTGTGGGGCTGAGGGGCTGTGGATCCCAGGCACTGAGGGCTGTGGGGCCGAGGGGCTGTGGATCCCAGGCACTGAGGGCTGTGGGGCTGAGGGGCTGTGGATCCCAGGCAGTGAGGGCTGAGGGGCCGAGGGGCTGTGGATCCCAGGCACTGAGGGCTGTGGGGCCGAGGGGCTGTGGATCCCAGGCACTGATGGCTGAGGGGCTGTGGATCCCAGGCACTGAGGGCTGTGGGACTGAGGAGCTGAGGGGTTGAGGGGCTGTGGATCCCAGGCACTGACGGCTGTGGGGCTGAGGGGCTGTGGATCCCAGGCACTGAGGGCTGAGGGGCTGTGGATCCCAGGCACTGAGGGCTGTGGGACGGAGGGTCCGGGCCCGTGGGCGGTGCTTGCCCGGGCCGGCCCCGGAAGCCGCCGCCGCCGCCGCTCCGGTGACAGACGGCGGAGCCGAGCGCGAAGATGGCGCTGCGGCCCGGGCCCGGCGCGGGGGGCGCCGGCGGGGCGGGCGGAGGAGCGGCCGGGGCCGCCAGGTCGGTGGTGACGGGGGGTGCGAGTGAGGGGCTGTGGAGAGGAGGGGACTGAGGGGACGCTGAGATGGCGGGAGGTGGGGGGCGATGACAGGGGTGGAGG